AGGGGCACTGTTCTAAGGATATGCATGTGAGATCTGAACTCAGACTCTAAGATTTTGGGAGGCTGAGAGGCTGTTTTTGAGCAACTGGCATAACTCCATGTGTCACTTAATAATTCAACAGTACAATGATTTCCTTCACTTCCTCAAACTTTAAAGAAGCATGCAAACAAAAAGCCTTCTGGTGATCACGCCAGCTGTATTTTCTAAGGGGGTCAGAGGAAAACGAGGCTGCCTGATCTATTCTTGGTTAGAGGGGAGACCACAAGTTGATGGCTCTAGGTAGTAGAAAACAACGACTCGCTTTCAGTCTCTAAAATGCCACCAAGCTTAACTCTACAGTTCACAACATGCTTTCATATCCTCTAAATTATTAATCTGTGATGATACAGGCTGTGATAAAGAAAAAGCAGAAGAACTTCCCTTCAAGCAAAGTCTATCAGACTTATAAATATCTGTTCACAAAAATGGAAAGTATTTCTAGGCTTCCTCAGAGTACCCCTGTAAGCAGGCAGGTGTTTCCTTCCCCAGCCTTGGCAAAAGGGAAGTATTTCTCTTGATTATGTATTTTCTTTTCTTCTATGGGTAAAGCACACTTTCCCCATAAAATGTGTACAGTAACCAACTGATACACTTCCAATTAACTTTGAAAAGCCTATTTAATTCTCATACATAACTGGGGAGACTCTTAAAGTGATATAACCTCTGGGAAAAAACTGGCAATAACTAGGAAAATCACATATGCATTTATCCTTTACCCAGCAATTCCACTTCTAGAAATTTATCCCAAATATGCACAAGCAATAATACAAAATGATTCATGCATAAGGTTACGCAGTGTAGCATTATTATTAAAAGCAAAAGACTGGAAATAATTCAGTGTCCATCATTGAGGGACTACATAAGCCATGGTCCATCCACACAGTGAAATACTATTCAGCTGTAAAAAGGAATGAGAAAGAGCTCTATGAACGGATAAAGAGTGATTTCTATGCATATCATTAAGTGATAAAAGGTACAGAATAGTTAGAATGCTACCTTTGTGAAAAAGAATAAGAATTTACATATTTACTAATACATGCAAAAAAACTGAAGGATAAACTTAAAACTAACTTAAAAATTAGCTACCAGTGGTAGAGGGAGAGACTAGTCTGAAGGGGACAGGGGACTTCTCCGAATACACCTTGTTGCAAAGGTTTCACTGTGAAAACATAAATGTGCTTTACATATTCAAAAATAAATAAATAAAAAATAAGCAAAGCAATCCCTGTAGAGATTGCTAACAAACAAATACATCTAACTGTATATCAAATTGGTGATAAAACCACAGAGGGAAAAAAAATATTTATTTCAAGTGACTTTAGAATATATTTTGATTATACATCATTAGTGGGAGAAATGGAGTGATTAGGAAATCTTAAATTCCATTCACTATTCTGTTCATAGTAATATTGGTATTACTGTGAAACTTTATATATAGGAGAATAATATAAATAAGTAGTTAATAAGTACTATTAGGATCCAAGATTTTCAGTGTAAGAAAAAAGATTCAAGTGTAAAGGAAGTAAAAATCCTTTAATGTTAAACCTGAATTGGACTGTAGTACTACAATTAATGAGAGTTATAAACGTCAAGGGCTAAAGGCTCTGACAATGCAGATACAGTACAGCCTTTTTTAAAAATGAGTGAATGAAGGGAGCATGTACCAAATACATTTTGTTTTTAGTACTCATATTGTCAGCAGTGCACATCTGGTAAAAAACTATGAGAAAAAGTAAGAAAATGGCTACAATACAAATTGGGATGGTAGTTACTCTTATAGTTACTCTCAGGAGAGGGAGAGAGAGAGAGAGAGAGGGAGGGAGGGAGGGAGGGAGAGAGAGGGAGAGAGAGGGAGGGAAGGAGAGGGAGGGAGGGGGAGAGGGAGAGCGAGAGAGAGCAATGATTGGGAGGAGCCACTGGACAGGCGGTCTGGGATGCTGGCGAATTCCACCTCCTGATCTGGTTGGATGTTCACCTTAAGATAATTTTAAGCTGTATATCGTTTTACGTTGTTCTCTGTATTTGTGTCATATTTAGCAATGAAAAGCTTTTTTAAAAAGCAAAAAAAACTGAATTAGAATTATCAACATGAACTCTCGATTTTTCTTTTTTCTTTTTTTTTTTTATATACAGATAGAGGGTCCCAGAGAGAGCTGGAAAAAAATATATAGAACAACATTCTAACTCACAAAAAAAAAAGATCAGACTTACTGGTCTGACAGAGACTGGAGGAAACGGAAGAGTATGGCCCCCATACGCCCTTTTAACTCAGTACTGAAGTCACTCTTGAGGTTCACCCTTCAGCCAAAGATTAGCCAGGCCCATAAAACAAAATGAGACTAAATGGGCACACCAGCCCAGGGGCGAGGACAACAAGGCAGGAGGGGACAGGAAAGCTGGTAATGGGGAAACCAAGGTTGAGAAGGGGAGAGTGTTGACATGTCATGGGGTTGGCAACCAATGTCACAAAACAATACGTGTATTAATTGCTTAATGAGAAATTAATTTGCTCCGTAAACCTTCATTTAAAGCACAATAATAATAAAAATACAGGTTTCCTAGCTCTGTCTACTAAAAAGGCGAACCATTTAGTATCACTAAAAGGGAGATAACCTGATATTGTGAGCCGCCTGATATGCAATACAGAGCACACAGCTCCACCTTTGGAGTGCTCCTGCCAAAAAAGTTAAACCCATACCTAATTAAGCCTCTATGACTAACTTCCTATTATAGGAAACCCAGGGTAGGCGATAGCAGAATAAGTTATATGACCACACAAGGAAGCAAATCTAGAACGTGGAACATTCTATAGGACAACTGACCCAGTTTCTGCAATAAGTCAGCAGCATTAAAAAGTGGGGAGAGAGGTAGGAGTCCTGGAGTACTCTAAATTAAGAAACTTAAGTCAAATAAATCAATCACAAAAGGACAACTATTGTATTGTTTTGCTTTTATAAAAAGTCAAGAATAGGTATACACACAGAAAGCAACAGAATGGGGGGGAGGAAGGCAGAATCATTTTTTAGATAGTAGACACTTGTTATTTTTGGTGATGGGAAAGGCAATATACAATATGGGTGAAGTCTGCACATCCTGATCAAGGTAAATGATGACAGTAAGAAATACACGGGACAATTTTGGTAAATGCTATAACACAATTTTGCAACAGTAACAACAACCAAAAAAACGTGTGTGGATACATAGGTAGATATATACATATATATGTGTATAGGAAGGCACACGTGAGTATATGGGTGTGCATGCATAGGTATATCTGTAGACATATGTATTACATGTCTGTGTGTGCTGCATATATATTCATATACATTATAAAACACATAGGCGGCACAGTTACAGATACTTCCCAGACATAACCAAACAATTTGGGGGATTGGTTTACTGGGTTCAAAGGCTCAGGACCATAGTCTTGTGGGACAACTCAGTCAACTGGTATAACATAGTCCATAAGGATAATGTTCTATATCCTAGTTTGGTGAATAGTATCTGGGGTCTTAAAAGCTTGTGAGTAGCCATCTAAGATACAACTATTGGTCTCTACTCATCTGGAGCAAAAGAGAATGAAGGAAACCAGACTCAAAGAAAAAAATGAGTCCACAGAACTAATAGCCCACATGAACCACGGCCTCTTCTAGCCTGAGACCAGAACTAGATGGTGCCTGGCTACCACTACCTTCCATTCTGACCAGAGCTTCAACCTGGTTCATTCCAGTTCAAACCCCTGCTGAGAATTTGCATTTCTACCCCAGACATACTGAATCAGAATCTACATTTTAACAAGATCCTCAGGTGATTCTTAAGACTATTTGTACACAAAAACTATTATTCTGCTTAACTCCCTAGGGTACTGGTTTGGAGATTAAGAAAAGTCACATTTATCTCAAACCAGAGGTCAGCAAATTGCAGCTGGTAGGCCAAATGCAGCCCAGTGCTTGTTTTTGTAAATGAAGTTTTATTGGAACACAGCCATACTCGTTTGTTTAGATATTGTCTGTGACTGCTTTCCTGCTATTAACAACTGAGATCACATGGCCTGCAAAGCCTAAAATATTCACTACCGGTCCTTTACAGAAGGCTGATCCCTGCTCTAAACCATCTCTTGAGCCTTCACTGGGTGATCCAGGTGCCACTAAAAATGCAGCTAAAGAAAAAGGGCTTCAGTTCCTAGTTCTGATGCTTATGCAATCACCACATGGTGAGGCCCAGGTGAAGAAAAACTGATTTGGGAACACATTTGATTTCAAATTCCAGAAACATTCTTACAGCCAAATAAACCTACATCAGAGTGGCTTGGAGGAAAAAGGACAAACGAGAAATGAAAGATAAAAGTGCAATAAAAATGCAAGGTAATCAGTCTTATGCAAGAGGCTTTGCCATTGTGACAGGTCAAATAGAGCATTTATTTGTAGTTTCTTCCTTTTTAACCCTAATATTATCTTCCTCAAAAATGTAGACAGAAATCGTATTTGTTTAAGCAAACTTAGGGTTTGTTTCTTCATCTAAAACGTGCACCCTATGAAGGCAAGGAATTTCTGTTACCTGGTATTATACCCCCAGTGCCTAGAAAGTACTCAATAAATATTCAATTATGAGTACCAGCATTCTGTCTTAGCACCACTAAACAACACTGAGACTCTAACCACTGTTTACTAAAAAATGGGTACTGCCCCCGCCACAAGGTATAAAGCCATTAGCAGCAATGCTTCGACTCTACAGCTCCTAATATTTCTCAGTTCCCTGAGCGAACAGTACGATATGGCACTTTAAAATCATCCTGCTAGACAAAATCCTATGTTTTGGAAATAGCTAAAGAAAAAATGAGTATTTATATTAACTTTAATATTTAAGTTTTAGTTTTCAGACTTAAGTATTTTTGGCTCAGGAATCAACAGCAATGGATCTTTTTGTTTTTTGTTTTTTTTTTTGGTATCCATGTCTCTTACCCCAGCCAAAGTCAAAATGTTTTCCAGTGATTTGGTCATGATGAGACGCTTCTTGGCACGAGTTACTGCAACATACAGTAAATTCCATTCATCCTCAGAAAATGACTCTAATAAAGAAAGAAAAGGAAAAAATACATATACCCTCAAAGACTGCTTATAAAAATTTATGTTCTTATCTACATGTTTATTACCTCTCACCCTGCTCCTCCCACCCAAAAAAAAAAAAAAAAAAACCCACACAAGATTTGCTGGTAGTATACACAAAATCTTCCTATATGCACCAACTCCAAAAACAAACAAAAGCCTAGCAGACTAGTGGCAGAGAACATTGAGTTTTATTTAGTCCTACCACAGGTAAATCCTGGGAATCTGTTCATTAGTTATTCAACACATGTGATATACTAGGTAAATATGTACATGCATTATCCCAGTTATCCTCACAACAATCCTGTGAGACTGATAAGAAACTAAGATGGTAAATCACTTAAACAAGGCCACAGTTTATCAAGTGCCTAGGTTCTGAACCCAAGTCTGGTGTTGTTGTTAGGTGCTACTGAGCTGATTCCGACTCATGGCGACCGCATGTGTACAGAGTAGAACTGCTCTATAGGGTTTTCAAGGCTGTGACCTTCCAGAAGCAGATGGCCAGGCCTGTCTCCCAAGGCGGGTCTGGGCGGGTTTGAACTGCCAACCTTTTGGCTAGTAATCTTTCTGTTGGTAGTTGAGTGCCTAACCATTTGCACCATTCAGTCTACTCCTCTCCAAAGCCTATGTTCCTTCCATTTCATTATGCTCTCTGGTATTACCTAGTCCAATCTGGAAATGTCTTGTGTTGTCATATGACAACCAGAGAAGAAAAATAAATTTACAGGTCTTTATTGCCTATTTTGCGCCTCTCCTCTCATTCATAGTACTAACACTGCGGTGTTAAAAAGCAGTTGACCTATGAATATGCTAAAAGCCATTAAATTGTACACTTTAAATGAGTAAATTGTATGGTATGTGAATTATATCTAATAAAGCTGTTACCAAAAAAATTAAGTATGTAAACATGTAATGACCAATGCGGGGGGGGGTGGTAGATTATAAATTAAATAAACTTCAAAAAAAGTAAGCCAGTCAATCTCTCTCTCTCTCTGGCCACTTCCTTTCACCACTCGACTCCAATTTATGCTCAATACCATGTTTTTCCAACATTTATGAGTATACTTAGCAAAGACAAGGAATTTTTGGTATTTATGTTTTTGGCATTCCAATGTACGCTATGCCCCAAATTTTTAATCCATGGTTAACAGATTTGTTTCTAGGGAACCTTCAAACGGGTTTATTCTAACATTTAAAACCAAAACACCACCACCGATACTAAGAATCTAATAACTAGCCTTGAGTATAAATTTACAAAAAAGCAGACAAATGAGAGAGTACTCACTATTTCATCTTTTATGATTTTCTGGTCTCTTTAATAAAAAGAGGGCAGATTAGTTAAAGAAAAAAAGCATCTTGGTGAGCAAGTAAACTACATAAAAGTTTTAAAGTTTTCATGAGGCTAGGGCACCCAATGTCTGATGGTGAAACATCCAAAGCTCAAGAGAGATGCATGTTAGGTAGCCACAACAAACATAACCTCCCTACAAGCAGGCCTTAAAGAGGTGAATCCTATGAAGGTTTGGTTTTTCTAAAAACCACAGTATAAGAATCAAGAGTTTAGGACTAGGAGGTGTTTTTTTTTTTCTTCTAGCGGGATCATACCAGGAGGCCACACCATCCCACAGAAAGTAAGGTAGTCAGGAGGAAGCATCCCCAGTGAACTCTTATGGCTAAAACAAAAGACTGCAATCAATCTCCTTACCAACTCTGAAGTGGGGAAGCTGTGCAAGATTATGCCTGGCACAAGGCACTTTCACAAAATCATCCAAGACATGCACTGTATCAAACTCCAAGCCCTTGGCTTTGTGCACAGTGCCCAAAATGTACTCTAGAATTAAAACACAGAGGTTAGATGAGCACTTGACAAGGAAGAAAAGAAAGAAAAAAAAAAAATTATATGCTTTCTAATATACTCTTAAAACCCTAACTACATTTTCTTGCCTATATGCAGCTTTGGGGGGAAAAATAAAACCACAATCAAAAATAAATAAACAGATAAAAGATAAAGGAAAAAGTAGAAAATTAGTTTCAGGAGAAGTAGTACATTTCAGAATCACATCCAGAGCTCTAAGCGACTATCCACCTCCTATATTTTACAGATAAAGCGACAGAGGCCCAGAAGAGGTTGAGTGGCTTGCCCACAGTTATACAGTGGTAGTGTTGGGGTTAGAAAATCCTGTTGTACTGGCTTGGAAGGAGAACAGAAATAAAGAGCCCCTAAAGAACAACAGCTTCAATTCCCTTTCTCTTCAACAATGCCAATAACTCAACAAAGGCATCCTTGGTCACAAGTGTATTTCATGCAGGCAAGAAGCATCAGAAGACCATGTGTTCCTTCTCCTGGTGGGAAGTTAAGAACGGTTTTCCTTACCTGCAAAGTCCAAATCTTCTATATGGCATTTTCCTATTCTTTCCACCAGTTCTGGAATCCTGATATTATACTTTTCAACCACTGCAATCTTTGCTTCAAGCTCCTTATCCTCGGCAGCAGTCACATACCTCTTCAAGCCACTAAAGCCTTCTTTGTGCACCCATCTTCTAATAAATTTGTCTTTAATAATGAGGTTTTCTAAGGAGAATACATACACAAGTTAACATGATACACACTGCACTAAAATACAGTGGCAACAGCTACACATTTATAACCAACAGCACAGTAGATCAATGGCTTTAAAGTTGGGAAATCCAGGTTCTAGTCCTGACTACATCACTAATTTGCTGTGTGTTCCTGGGCAAGTCAGTGAAATAACCTGTGCTTTAGCCTCTCCATCTCCAAACTGAGGATAAAGAACCCTATCCTTGAACTCCTTACCTACTTCACAGGGATTTGAAATAGCGCTGTAACCATGAAAAGAAAAGCTATACAGAAATGTGAGAAATTATAATTTGGGGCCCATGCAGAAGTTTCTCTGTATAAACCTGACCAGACAGACAGAAAGATGGTGGGGAAGACAGCATAAGGGACCAGTATTAGAAAGAAACTTAGACTTCTGAGAGAAAGATCCAGAAAGAACTGCCAGTACCTCTGAAAACAGGAGGCCTCAGGCATCCCACTCTTCATGGGAAAAGAGCAACACTAGCTCTACCCTTCTCCAGAAGGAAAATAAGAACACTGACTGAAAACAGCCCGCTCTTTTCCCATCCCTTGTCACTTGAGTGCTTCCTTCCACTGCACCCAGGCCAGCAGGGTACTCACGTTTCTTCCGCTCTTCCTCTGGCTGAAGAAGGATCCAAATATCAATGATTCTGTCCAATCCAAATGATTTAATCCCCTGAAAAAGTTTTTTGGTGGGATTTTTGTTTTTTTGTTGCTTTTTGCTTTGCTTTGTTGTTGTTGTTTTTTGTTTGTCTTTTTTTAACAAAACAAAGTAAATGTAGAATTGGGACTTTGAAATGAGACGATTTCTTGGAAACAGATCTCAAACTGTACCCAAAGCATAAAGACAGTAAGCAGAAAACTTGATCAAGCACAAAGTACTTGGCTACAATGCCGCCCGAACCTCAGCATCATCAAATTCTAAGCTTTGGCTGCTACCTCAAACTCTTCCTATGTTTTTAAAAAAGGTAATTAACTAGCTGTACTCTGTTTTCTCATTAATAAAGGGACAATTTAAATCTACCTTCCAGAACACAAAAAGATTACAATAAAGAATACAAATGGTACCTGAATGTAAAGTATTGAGTATGAATACTTACCATGGTTTCTTCTGAGGAAAGAACTACAGACTATCTTTAGGTCCCAATTGTTCTACATTTTAAAAGGTAAGCTCCTGGGTGAGAAAGCCTGACTGTACCACAGTTTAACCCAATCCTACCTAAGAAGTGTCTGCTGAGCACTGTGTGCTCCAGCACTAGCACAGAACGAGGCACTAACACAAAAGAAAGAGATGACTAGGGCTCCATTCACAAGGGATTTATAACCTCTTCGAGAAGAGACACATAAAACAGAGACCAAAATAAAAGTATACACTATAATTCAAAACCAGATGTAATCAAGTATAACAACACATATTATAGGCCATAAATGGATGGATGAGAGGGGAGAGAACTTACTTTTCATTATGCCTAACATGGATGATATTCCAAAGTACTTTTTTTTTAACAATGAAAAGCTAAATTATGCTACTTTCACTGGATGAAATATTGTAAAGTCATTAAAGCAGTAACATAAAAGAAAATACGCTATGTGCTGAGTGAAAATAGCACACATTTTTATGTACACTATAATTATAATTATGTAAAAGTATATACCCATAAGGACAAAGACAAAAATAATTAGGAAAAATAAAAATTATTATACAAAATACTGAGATTATGGGTGATTTTTTTCTTCCTTTCAGTTCCCAAAATTTCTATAATATGGCTATATAATCTTTGTAATAAAAAAGAGAAAAATTATAACATCTTTTGCTTATGATTCACTTACTGTATTGAGTGCCCAGGACATAGTAAGCCCTCAGAAATATTTTTTCATAAATGAATGAATGAATATATTTTAGTCATATAACATTGCTTCAAAGAGTTAAAAATGCCATACACATATCAGTTAATCCTCCTAACTTCCCCGTGAAACAGATAAAGAAAAGGCATTATTTTTATCTTAGAGAAGGAGAGAATGAGGCACACAGAAGTTGTGACTTGCTCCAAGCCACACGAAGTTAGTGACAGAACCAGAGCTAGAACCCAGGTGTTCAAACTCAATACACTAGAGGACATTAGTGTTTCTCAGCGCGTTGTTACCTCAGTTGCTCTTACAACAGTGAACAACGCACAACCAGAAAATTTTCAGGTAGAAACTCAACTATCAGCAGCCTCATTCATACAGTGAAAGATAAGAAGGGCATTCATTTTTCAAAGAATGGAAGATAAGATCCTCTGCTGTTAAAGGTCTGACTTTATAGCATAATCAGAATAGCCAGGGGTAAAGACTTCAGTCACAGCTCAGCCTGTGAAAATGAGTCAAAAACTCAAATGCTTTCTTAAATAAAAATCCTAATTAAGTTGAACTTTTTGAATGGATATGTCCACCTGCAAAGTTTCTGTACGTGAAGCAGTCAAGAGAAATTTACTCTTACCCCAATCAAATGTATCTTTGAAGGTACTTCTCCTTCAGTCACCCGCACAGCCTCATCAAACACATTGGCATTTGTCCGGGACAACAGGGCCACTTGCCCTTTTGTATCACCTCTAATGCCACCTTTTCGGAGAGAGCACAAACTCTATGGCAAATCAAAATAGAGAGGAAAACAGAATTTTGTAACAAATAAAAGCAAACTAACTGAAAGCCTTACTCTGATGGTTTCCTCCGACCAAAGTCTTTCTCCTTACTCTCTTGCAGACATCCAAGATAGTAGCTCCCACATAAGCTATTTCCACACCAAATCTAAAACTCTGTTGGAAAACAACAAAACAAAAGGAGTTAGCAACACTCCCTGACGTATGTTAGCACATTTCTATCACTGCCAAGTCCTGGCACTGCCAAACCCAACTAGTTACTCCTGACTCACTCTACAAGGAAAGGGTATTTGGAAATTCCCACCTGTAAAACCACTTGTACCTAAACAGGAGCTTGGTAATCAAAACGTCACTGGTCTTATTCCCAAATATTAAAAATAGTATTTTCTATCATGAAACTTCTAGGAAGGAGCCCTGGTGGCGCAGTGACTAAAGTGCTAGGCTGCTAACCAAAAGGTCGGCGATTTGAACCCACCAGCTGCTCCAAAGGAGAAAGCTGCGGCAGTCTGCTTCCATAAAGATTACAGTCTTGGAAAGCCTATCGGGCAGTTCTACTCTGTCCTATATGGTCACTATGAGTCAGAATCAACTCTATGGCAGTGGGATCATGAAACCTCCGAGTTATTTTTGTTTACCCCTTGCCCCCAAATCCAAATCTTGATAATTCTACCATTATAACGTTTATAACCATCTTTTTCTATCACTGCTACCAGCTTAGTTCAAAAACTCAAACTTCATGCTGAACCTACTTGGTCTCTACCTCCACTCTACTCCCTCTGTCAAACGATTCTCTATACCTCTGCCAGATGAATCACGCCCACTTAAGACATTCTCTACCTACAAAGAAAAAACAACATGCATAAGGAAAAAAGTGATGAGATCACTTTGAAGTTCCTTCACAATCTGGATAGCCTTTATTTCCCATTACTCCCCAACACCAACAGTAAATTTTTCTTTTAAACAAATCTACCCATTTTTCTAAATCAAATCTTACAAAGAAGCTCAAATTATACAAAAGATTAAGACAGTAGGAAGGGTTTCTCCCCCTGCCTTTGAGAGGCCTTTCAACATTAATTTTTAAAACCACTGCCCTACATTAACCAGTCACAAGTATGATCATTATTCCCTGAGCCTTTCCTGTACCTTCCCTGCCTTGGCTAGTTCTTTTCCCCTATCAAAATAATTTTCTACCCTTCAAAATTCAGCCCCAGACCTGACTTCCTTAATCACTCCAGCTGGAAAGATACTGCTCTTCCCCAAACTCATGGTATTTATTATTTTTTCCATGTATTCATAAGTTAAGGTAATCAAATATTTGGTGCTTTGATGATACAGTCACCAAAGTCAAAGGAAAACTAGGCCTTCAACAAACAGTGCTTTATTGCTATAAAAACTATTCTGAGTGGACTATAACCCAAAGTATAAAATAAATATCCCTGAGTCCATACTGATATTAAATGAGTGAATAAATAAATAAATGAGGAGAAGAGACAAATCTCCGTTGCAGAAGAATTTTAAATAATTTATTTAGATACTCCACCCTCAAGGAGAGGGCCACAAATCCCCATTTCTTAAGTGTGATCTTAGTATAGTGACTTCCTTCCAAAGAGCAGAGTATGGTAAGGGGGGGGGAAAGTAACTTTACAGTAGAGAAACCTAACAAACACTACTTCAGCTGGGTGATCAAGGTCAACTACAACAGTCACAAATCATGTCAACAGTGTGTACCCCACTTGATATCACGTGATGAAAATGGCACTTTACCTCTGAGGCCTTCCTCCCAAAACACCATAACCACAATCCAATCACGAGAAAAACATCAGACAAATTCCAATAGACAAGCACCTACAAAATACTTGACCAGTAGTCCTTAAAACTATCAAGGTCTTCAAAAACAAGAAAAGTCTGAGAAAATGCCACAGCCAAGAAGAGCCTAAGGACACATGAAAACTAAATGTAATGTGGTATCATGAATAGGAACCTGGAACAGCAAAAGACAGTAGTTAAACACTGAGGAAATCTGAATAAAGGACTTTCATTAATAATGTATCAATACTGGTTCATTAATTGTGGCACATGTACCATATTAATGTAAGAGGTAATAATAGGGAAAAATAGGTGGGGGGGGGTGGATATAAGGGAAATCTCTGTACAATCTTCTCAACTTTTCTGTGAATCTAAAACTGTTCTAAAAATAACCAAAAAAAAACAAATCAAACTCGCTGTCAAGTCATTCCGACTCATAGCAACCCTAAAGGACAGAGTACAACTGCCCCATAGGGTTTCCATGGAGTTCCTGGTGGATCTGAACTGTTCACCTTCTGTTAGCAGCCGAGCTGTTAACCACTGCGCCACCAGGGCACCATTCTAAAAATAAAGCCTACTTATTACTATTATTTATTTTAAAAAAAACTATTCTGAGATGATGTCACCCTAAATCACCACAGGAATTCAAAAGAATAAAGTCACAAAGTAGGCTACAGGACTTTCTATAACATAACAAAACATAGCACAGATCAGATTTTTTTTAATTGTCGTACATATGTATGTAACAAAACATTTGCCACTTAAACATTTTTTACATGTACAATTCACTGATATTAATTATGTTCATCATGGTGTTCAACCATCACTACTATCCATTTCCAAACTTTCTCATCACCCTTAACAAAAACTCAGTATCCCCTAAAGCAATGAGGCCCCCTTACCCTCTCCCTCCTGCCCGCCTCTGGTAATAACCACTGATGAACTTTGGTCTCTGAACACCTGATTTTGACTGTTCTGGATATTTCATATAAGTGGATCATACAATATTTGTCCTTTTATGACTTATTTCACTCAGCCTAATGTTTTCAAGGTTCACATTATGTATTTTAAAAGGTGACACATCTCATATCCTCTAACTAGTAGTGAGTTTCTTAAACGCAACGGTTCTCCAAACTCTTGGGCTCAGGACCCTTTACACTTTTAAAATTACTGAGGCCCCCAAGGAGCTTTTATGTATGTAAATCAGATCTATCTATATTTACCATATTAGACACTAAAAAATATTTTTTTATATTTAAAATATTTCTAAATTTTTACTTAAAATTTAAAAAGAAATTTAAAAAAATATTTAATTCATTTAAACTCAACAATAACCATATTATATGAGAACATAAACAACATCTTTTGAAACACAACTATATTTTCAAAAAAAAATTTAGTGTGAAGAGCAGCACTGTTTTACGTTTCTGCAAATCTCTTTAATGCCTAGCTTCACAGAAGACAGCTGTATTCTCATATTTATATCTCTATTCAATCTGTTATGACATTTGTTTCAGTTGAAGCATATGAAGAAAATGCAGCCTCACACAGAGATGTACTTGAAAAAGGAGGAATGTTTAATAGCCTATCCAGCTAATCAAGAATATTATTCTTTGACACTGGAAATAACAAATGTTGGAGGGGCTGCAGGGAGATCGGAACTCTTATGCACTGCTGGTGGGAATGCAAAATGATACAACCATTTTGGAAAAGGATATGGTGCTTCCTCAGAAAGCCAGAAATAGACATACCATATGATCCAGCAATCCCACTC